TTGTGTGGATTAACCAACAGATTTCCCCTGTGTGATAACGTCCTAGGAGACAGTTGTTAGCAATGATAGAATCTGTATACTGCCCCAGTCTCTGCACGGGGGAATAATATTGTCCTTAACCTGAAAAGCAACAGCTCTCATGGGTTTTAAACAGTAGTTTTACTGAGCTCTACCTGAAGATGCTGGGGAAAAGCTTGGAAAAGTTGTTTTGATTACACTTCCCAGAACCTCCAGCCAGACATCTGGGGCATTATGGGAGTTGTAGTCCCAAGCTCTGTGCAGGGGAGTGCATCTGGGACCTTTTTTTTGCCAAGCAAATATGATACCATTTAAAAGTTAAGGGAAGCCCTTAACTGAGCCATTGTGTTCCACTTGACTGCTGGCAGCTGAATGCAAGCCATACTCAGGACTAGGGTTGCCGGACTGAAGACTGGAGAGGGCTCCTTTCCCTTTCATGGTTTTGTCAACAAGGGAATTTCAGCAGATGCTGCTTGTTGTGAAACCAGCAACAAGAAACACTGGCCGAAATCCCCTCATGTTGTTGTGTGCCTTCAGTTTTGACTAATGGCCAACCTAAGGTGAACCTATTACAGGTTTTTCTGGAGCTGAGAGCTTGATTTGCCCAAGGTCACCCAGTGGGTTTCCATGGCCGAGCAGAGAATTGAACCCTGGTCTCCACAGTCGCAGTCCAATGCTCAAACCACTACACCACACTGGCTCTCTTCTACACAACCACAAAGTATGGGAACACCGTGATTTCCTGTTGGTTAAGGTATGCTACAATCAGGACCATGCGCTTGGTAAAGACTCTTGGTGCCGTGGAGAGCCTGAAGGAGAGTACCATGTACTGGAACATGTCAGGACCAACGGCAAAGGCAAGGAATCTTCTGGGGTCCTCTTGAATTCCAATGTGGAAGTAAGCATCCTTGAGATCAAGGGTTGCGAACCAGTAGCCCTTCTGAAAGAGTGGTAAAATAGAGGCAAGAGTTACCACACGAAACCGACGGTAAATAATAAACTTATTCAGCTGGTGCAAGTCCAAGATGGATCGGAGACCAGAATCCCTTTTTGGGACAATGAAGTATTGAGAGAAAAAACAAAGATGGGTCCGAGAGGTGTCCACAGGCTCAAATTGTGCCCCTCTGCAATAAAGTGTGCACTTCGTTGAGTAGGGTGTCTGAAAGGGAGGGGGAGATAACAGCTCCAGTGGCAGGGAAATTGTTAAACATGAGGGCATATCCCCTACAGATGATGTCAAGAACCCACGAGTCAGAGGTGATCATTGCCCAGGTGTTTAAGAAGGGCTTCAGTCTATCTCTGAATGGAGTATGGACAAATTGTGCTGCCTCATCTCACAATCTCTTCATGGTCTGCTTGATGTCCTTTTTACGGTAGCCCTGCAGTACCGAGGCTGAGCAGGCTGGCAATGGCCAGAAGAAGAGGAGGATTGTGAAGAGTGGTGCTGCCACAGCTGGTCCTGGAACTGGTATTGTCTGTACTGGGATTGGTAGAACCTTTGCTGGTAAGGAGGGTACCAGGGGCGCTGACCTCCATACTGATGCTGCTAAGAAGACTGAAAGGATGAGGAGGACATATTGTGCCTCCATGCAGCTGTCTTCATCCTCTGTCAGAAGTTCAGTTTCTCATTGGTCTCTTTGTTAAAGAGGCAGGAGTCATCGAACGGCATGTCCTTGATCATATTTTGAGCCTCGGGAGTGAGGTCCAAGGCTTGAAGCCAGGCATGATGCCGGAAGGCCCCAGATCCTGATAAAACCTTGGAGGCACAATCAGCAGAGTGGTGGGCCAACATGATCTGCTGTTCACCAATCGAGTGGGCCTTGGACTGGAGTGTCAAAGCCAGAGGCTTTTTGTTGTCTAGTAAATCATAGAGGAGAGGGAGCAACCTTTCCATGATGTGTTGTTTGTATGCCCTCATGCACGCTGAGTAGTTGGCGACCTTTAAGTCCAAATGGCGGAAGCATAACATTTCTTCACCAGACTGTCCACCTTCTTGCTCTCTTTATTCACTGAGGTGATTGACATCTTCAGGGTGGATTGGAGCTGAGTGCCTTCAACAATTGCCAAATTTGGTCTCTGGTGCTGAAAGAGTCATGAGGAGGAAGAAGGCCCACTCCCCCTTGCAGGAGAAATTTGATCACAGGGAGAGCAGAAAAATCATCTCCGCTTGTAAAACTGCTGCCACGGTTTCGGCATCGGATCCCGGTCTCCGTCCCAGTATTGTTATAGAGACTGAGGTAATATCTCCACTCACCAAGACGCCGTCTGGCTCAGCAGAAGAGTCCCAGGTGATTGTGAACTCAGAATCTGAAGTGGAGATATGGGAAACTGACACAGAAATCCCATTCCTGACTCCTCATCAGGCATCATTTGTTGAGGTAATATCTCCACTCCCCAAGACGCATAACCTTTAATATGCTACTACTAAACTTCAGAAAAAGCCACATTTCATGCAATGTCCACCTCCCACATTATAGCACACTAGGCAACAGACTTGCGGATAGATTCTGGAAAGCACAATTGGTCATTTAAAACAAAAATATTTTTGAAATTATGACGATTGATAAAAATCATAAGCCAACATGGATTTTGCTTTATTTTGTTAATATTAAAAGAGTTTTCACTATTTCAAAAAGAGATACCCAACATCTTAAAAATTCTGGAAATCCCTGTGTTATTTCTAAAACTTTGGAGCACTGTCAGTTATTCAAACACTTGAGATAGTTTTGTTGAGTGGCCAACAGGGAAATGCTATTATAACAGCAGGGTGGAACCAGTATCCAATTTAACTAAGCACGAACCTGAAATTTGCTCCAACTCTTAGTCCCAGGGTTCTGGCATCCCGACCTGGCATGCTCCTGAAAAATTCAATAGCACTTATTAAGGGTTTTTTTGCAGTCCACACAGTGCCGATATGGAATTCAGTATCGTGGTCCTTCAGAGAATATGTTGTTTATGCCAGGAAAACTGACTTTGCTTCTTTTAGGCTGACTTAACAGCAGAACTATCTGTCCAGGAAAATATTCCTAATGTGCTCTTTTCAAAACAACAATAATAAAGTAATGCCATTTGGAAATTGCAGTAAAATCATGCATCCAGGTTCTCAGTAGCCTTTGGCACACATGCCTGTGAAGAGACCTAGCCATCTTTTCTATGAGACAAGCCAATTGACAAAGCTGGGCCTACATCAGGCCAGAATCTACCAAACAGTGATACCTTTATTGGCCAACCAAAATGCACAATATACTTATTGCAAGCTTTTGAAGCTCCACTTGCTTCTTCATCAGGTAAGATGTTACAAACCAAATGGAGAAAAAATTGGAGATGTTAGTCAGATGCCTGCATTTTGATGTTTCTGTCCTTAATTAAGATGGTATGGGGAGGCCATCTCTTGAAGGCTGGCCCCTCCTCCTTCTGGCCATGTGGCAATTGGGAGATTTGCAAAGACCAGGAAATTTAAAGTCCATTTGTATCTCAACAAGGACCCCTCTCTTGCAATCCAGTATACCTCCATTCCTATGAGGTCACAGACCTCTTTGTAGGCAGAGGACAATTGATTCCTCAAAGAGTCTTCATGTTTTTGCATCAGGAACATTTTGGTAGGTGTTGAGGTAAAACGTGCCAATCCAGTTCAAATTTAAGAAGAAAAAAATTGTTTTACCTTGGTTGGAGGTCCCAGACCACTGGCTCACTCTTCAGGGTTCCCCTGTTGCAGCTACAATGTGGTATCGCACAATCATATCAGATTGTGAAAGAGGGGTCCTTGCTGATGTGGATTGCAGCAGTTCAATTGGAATATCGTCTGTTCCTGATGATTTGTTCTTCGCTATTTCTCTTATTGCCTACCATGGCACTATCTTTCTGTGATTGTGGGATTGCATGGTCTCGTTTGGCAAGAGGCAATGCTGATGGCAACAGTGCTGCTGGGAGGGTCTCCCATGTCAGACAAGCTTTTGCTGAGGAGCCAGACTAAAAACCACCACAGACTCACCAATCACATTGTGTGGTGGTGTCTCCTGCTCTTCATCTGTCCATGTGAGGTCCTTAGCCACATCTTTCAAAGGTTGTGATGGTGGCAAGGCTTGGGCAGAGGGCATTGCGTTTGTAGCTTGGAGCAGCATCATTTTGGGGCAGACTAGTTGACTGGAACAAGGAGTTAGAGCACATGGCTGTGGGGGAAGCAGCAGTAAAAAGGAGCTTTCAAATTTGGCACCCTGCTTAAGTTTTATGAGCTTTGCTGAGACTTGCTGGGAGGTTGGAGCTGTTTTGCTGCTCTTCCTTTATTCATCATACAGCCTGAGAGAAGATGTAGCAGAAGAAACGATATTGGTTTGTGTGGGGAACACTTGAAACTGTGTGGAGAAGACATGTCCCTGGGGAAGCAGGAAGAGTATCTGGCCTCAAATCTTGAAAAGAGACCTTCACCTTGGAGTGGTTCCTTTAGTTAAAACCTCTCCCTTTCCTCATACACAGAGGTCTCCAGTTCAGAGCATATGGCCTCTGTAAACCCCTACACACATACCAGCTATCCCCCTCTCTGCCCCAATAAAGAAAGATCAAGACCCCTTCCTCACCAGTGAAAAACTTCTCTCTTTGCACCCAATCACCTTGGGAACAGCAACCAAGCATGAGCAGTGACTAAGGGCCTTTGCAGACTGCTAGAAATAGTGCAAATTGAATCCACTTTAACTGCCCTGGCTCAGTGCTAGGGAATCATGGGAACTGTATTTTTTTCTGAGACATTGAGCCTTCTTTGTCAGAGAGCTCTGGTGCCACAATAAACTACAGTTTCCATGATTCTCTAGCACTGAGTCAGGGCAGTTAAAGTGGACTCAATTTGCACTATTTCTGGTAGTCTGCAAAGGCCTTAAGAGGCCTTTTGCCCCCACTGGCCTTTGCTGGAAGGGCAGTATGGGCAAGAGGCTTCTCGGTTGCTGGTCAGCCAGCTGCTCAGTTGCTGTTCCCAGGGTGACCGGGTACAAAGGGAGCAGTGACAAAGAAGCAGTCGAGCAGTGACCAAGAAACCTCTTGCTTGGACCAGTCTTTGCTGCAAGGCTGGCATAGGGGAGAGGCTTCTCAGTCACTGCTCAGGAAGATGCTCAGTTGTTGCTTCCAGGATCACAGGGTGTAAAGGGAGCAGCTACATGGATCAGTTGTTTTGAATTTGTAGTAGAACAATATATCTAATATCAAGAAGTGCACATGGAGGCAGTGCTAGGTTGCTGCACAAGAGGAAGGGGGTGGTAGCTGGAAAAAGTTTGGGGATGACTGCACTAGATCATTGCATTAATCTCCCATGCAAGCAAGTAAAGGTAAAGGTATTCCTCATTGACAAGGTTGTCAAGTCATGTCCGACCGTAGGCTTAAAATTCTACAAGAAAGACTTTTATCATATATGGAGTGAGAAATGACAGCTGTCCAAGCTCGGTTGAGGGGAAAAAAAGAGGCACAATGGATCATATTGCAAACATATGTTGAATAATGGAACACAGCCAATAATTTCAGGGAAAAAATCCATCTTTGCTTTATGGATTCTTTGACTTTGTAACTCATGAAAAACTATGGATCGATCTTAAAGAAATGGGTGTACCACAATATTTGATTATCCTAATGCATAACCTGTATTCAAGACAACAGACTACTGTTGAAAGAGAATACTGAGAAACAAAATGGTTTCCAATTGGCAAGGAGGTCTGACAA